GCCTGATGCCTTAACCACTAAACCAAACTGGCTCTTAAAAGAAAATAAAGTAAATTTAAGATTTTTAAAGACAGAAAAAGCAATGCAGATTACAGACTCATTTTTTAAGGTTTCTTCATACAATGTGATAAATAAATGAACGTGATGCTTACCTTAACAGTGGGATAAGTCTTGTGCCCCTTTTCACTAGATGCTCCAGGCAGCCCACCATGTGAGGGCCCTTCACAGCCATAACGGAACCGGAAACCTCGCTGCCAAAAATGGTAATTAAAGCAAAGCCATTCCATCAGAGAAAACTAAACTACTAGGAAAAACTTTGCCTATGACAGGATATAGTTGGGGAATCCAGCATCCTTAGAAAATCCTTACCTGCTTTGGCTGTTCAATTATAGTGAGAAATGGGCCTTCAACTGGTAAAAACAAACAAACAAGAAGATATACAGAGTATCCCAATATTAAATAAACATATAAGCACACGTAATACAGTTTAAGTGGAAATTATGAACAAAACACATGAAAACAACAGAAAATTGGCTCCTCCCCTCAGTTGTCTATAGTTCTACATCCCTGAGGAGACATAACTTACAAAAAGTTCCTTACCTGTCTCCATAAGCAGCTCTTTCTGCTCAATCAAATGAGCACCAAACTGAAAATCGTCATAGTCTATCCCATCTAAGCACTGCATACAAAAAAGGATCAAGAAGAAAGGAAGCCTTAAGTCCCAGATGACTGAAAGCATTAGCGCAGCATTATAAAGATTCTAGATAGGGTAGATAGTCAATAGGAATGAAGTCTACATTAAGTCTTTACTACTAATGACAATTAAATGAAAACATTGAGAACAACAAGCAACTTATCTAGGCAAGTGTTTCCTGAGCATCTGAGGCAAAGAACACTCCCATCTAACACCCTACACTGGTGAAGAAAGCCTACAATTCACTTAAACTTTAAATATTGTACACTGCCTACACTCTTTGGAGTTGGGCAACCCCAAAATCCAATAAATACCTAAATAAGACCCTTAGATAAGCTTCTCAGGACATACTTCTCATCTGGAAGGAGGCAAATATGAGAATGGTATCTCCACTGAGTAGAATAAATTGTCTGGAGTAAAGAAAAGAAACAGGTATTTGCTCCTATACAAGACTAACTGATCCATCATTGCTTAAGCCTCACCTCATTTCACGTATAAAATCAGGCATTTTTTATGTTGGTAGAAGGTTGTATTACTTAAAGAACACAAACCCTGCCCTTTTTTTTTTTTTTTTTGGTGGCACATAGTCACCTAGCAGTTTCTTCTGAAAGGATTGCTGTGGAATGTCTATTTGCTTGTCTTGGGCCCAACAAATAACAAACGCAGAGAGGACAACTTTTGTTTTTTTGTTTTAAGCCTTCCAAAGTACATTATCCAAAAAGAGAATGCAGCTTTGCAAACTTGGGACTAGAGACTAGGCTTGAACCTTGCCCAGGAGGAGGCCCGGGTTTCAACCAGATCCCAGTTCAAAATAAACTGGGGGGAGGGGGGAGACCTTCCAGGCAACGGGGGACTGTTAAGACTCACCGCGGGGTAGCCTTCGCCATCCATGGAGGATCCAGCTGATAATCACGGAACTGGCAATCCGGCCCTGCGGAAGAAACAGAAGAGACAAGCGCTGCCGCCGCCGCCGCCAAATGAAGCGCAGGCGGAAACGGGGCGGGCAAGATAACACGGCTGGAAAGTCCCTAGAAGCCCGGCGAAGCCCAAGAGAGGGAGGAGGGAGAGAAGGAAAGAAGGCAGGCTCTGCTCGCTTCCCTCGCGGCTTCTCGGCCGCGGCAGCGCAGCTTGTTCCGCCTTCCCGCCACCCTCTTCACCTCCAGGCTCCCTTGTGGGGCGGGCAAAGGAAAGCGCTGCCCGAGGGGCGCCGTCGGGGAAGGGAGAAGCACGGCGAGTCCTCCTGGGAGCGCGGGGGACCCGAAGGCCGCCTCTTTTCTCCGGCAAGCGAGGCCGAGTTTGCTCCGCCTGCTGATCCTGGCGTGGGCGGAAACCCACCGTGCCCCGCCACGCTGAGACTGTGACCGGCGTCAGATCCGCACGTGCTTAGTTACTACGTTCGGGGATTTCAGGAGGGCCGCTGAGTGGGAGGGACGGCGAGGGGGGAGGAGGAGGAGGAGATGATCCGCTTCCCCCGGGGAAATGGAAGCACGGGGAGGGCGTCTCTGCGGAGAAACCCAAACACGGTGCCAAAGGCCGGGAGAAAACGGCAGGACGGAAGAAGGCCCGGCCGCCGCTGCCGCCACTCACCACCCGTCGGATCCCAAGCAGCTCTGCCGCGCCGAGGCCGGACTTCTCCGGCCTCGCTAAGCTCCGCCCGTCCCTTCTGGAGGGGTTTACCGCTGTCAGCTGATCTCTGGAGGGCAGGACTCCGGCGGGAGGAGGCGGCGGATGGCGACCCTCGCCGAGAGCCCCGCAGGTTTCCGAGAAGGACTTGAGCGGCGACCCTGAAGAGCCCTCCCGTGGGCCTCGCCTCCTGAAGTGGGGCTGGCACCGGGAGAAATCGGAGGAAGTGGCAGGGACGCCGTGCTTGCCCCCCTCCCCTGTCCAGCGAAGAGACCCCTCCGTTGCCTTTTTTACCTCCAATCCAAGACCAGAACAAGAGCGGCTTAAAAGAAGAAAGACTGGTTTAAATTATAAGTCTTAAAGAGAATTTTTATAAAATGTTACGTTGGTACATGTCACCGGAGAAATTGTCTAGAATGTTATAAAGGTTCTTCAAATTTATGCTGGAAGTGTAATCAACAAGAAGGAACATTTTATAATGCTTGGTGGACGTGTAAAAAAGCCAGAAAAGTTTAGACAGAATTACATATTCAAATGTACATTTTCAAATACAGAAGCTTTTAAAGATTAATGTACAATTGAAACCAGAGACTTTTGTTTTGGGACTGATGGATAAACAGTTGGAAAAAAACCATGGAACTTTGTTTTTGTATACAATAACTGCAGCAAGACTACTATATGCACAAAGGTGGAAAGATTCGACTTTACCCACAGTGGAGGAATGGATGGTGAAGATGATGGAACTTGCTGAGATGGCCAAATTGACAGCTTTAATTAGAGACAGGACATTGTCTAAGTAACGCTGATTGGAAACCCCTTGTTGGCTTTTTTGGGAAACAGAAAAAAATGAAATTATGATATATGGTTTTGATGATTAGAAAAAAATAGATTACAGAAAAAATGTAAACAATGTAATCAGAGAGTAAGAGGTCAATTTACATTTATACTTATAACTGCTGTAAAAAAATCGGAAGTCTCTTCTTTATTTTTTTTTCTTCTCTTTGATTTCTGCACTTTTGTCTTTATTATTTTTCTTATTGGTTTCCTTTTTCTTCTTTTTTCATTCTAAATATTAGTTCTTGTTATTTTTTATCCTTTGTTTTAAAATTCTAATAAAGTTATTTAAAAAAAAATAAAAGAATGACTGGCAGGGGAAGGGAGAAATGGATTCTGGTCCAAGTGAGAAAAAAAACATGTTCAGAGTTGCCTACATCCACATATGCTATTCCTGCACTTTGAAAAAAAAAAAAAACAGTTCTGGAATCTATGCACAAGTTCAATTGTCTCCCTGTTAAATCCGTTCCTAGGAAAAGATGGGCTGTCAAGTAGATGGTTATTCAGGATGGATCCTCATCCTGTTTGCTCCACTACAGATATGGGCTGTTGATCATTTCTACAGGGCGGGAAAGCATGGCATCCTTGTGAACCACCACCACTGCCTCAGCCTATAGTTTCCTGTTACACATCAAAGTAGAGTTTTCTGACATGCTGGCTCAAATAGTGCTGTCCAGTTGCCTACTGTGTGCAGTGCAAGGAATACTACTTTTCTTCCAGTCACTGGCATGGCTTCTGAAGGGACTAGACTGGTTAAACTGTCAAGTTTCACCCTGGAATTGTTTTTTGCAAACTTGCCTTCACTGAACACATGAAGCACAGTGCTGTTACACTGCAGCACATTGGTGTAGTGGTACTGTAGGCATGTGACCTCAACCAGCATGTCACAACATATAAGCACATACCTGGGGTCTCCTCCTCCACCAGCTCCTTTGCTTCTGGCTTCTGTGGAGTGGTGCGAGGCAGGTGTTGCTGCTCTGCCAGAGACCAGGAACAAGTACTTGGGTGCAGCACCTATATGCATAGAGCACTTTGGTTGTTCCATGGAGCATTATGTACCCTGGTAAAATAAAAAATCCACAGGAAACAATGAGAAAGGATGAGTTAGCAAAGAATAGCACAATGAAAGAGAAACTTTCCTCAAATAGACTAAATGTAGAAAACTAAGCTGTCTATGTGACCATAAGAAGGAAAAGTATTTGGTGCTTGTTCTCAAGGAACCTCATGGTTGAGTCCTCAAGAAGTGGAGTTCAACCCTGGACTAGCACCCTGGAGGAACTACAGGAACTACAGAGTTCCATGGTGGGTTCCACTACAGTGGGAGGAACAAGGTTCTGCTCAGAAGGCCAAGACTGAAGTAAAACCTGTACACGGGAAGCAGAGGTAAGAATTGTCAATATGTTTATTGTTGTGACTGTCAGATTCAGCCAGCATGGCAAGGCAAGGCGAATGCCACTGCTCAGCTTCGCCTAGTCAATTTCACTGCCCCAGGCACTAGCAGCGAAAAAGGGGAAGTTAACAAACCGTGAACTGATTGCTGACAGGTGGCGGCAGTTAACTCCAGCGGAGCGGATATGTTGTATCATCTCCGGCTTCCCTCGAGCGCTGCAGACAAAGGGAAGCGCAGCAATCAGCGCGCGATTGAGAACTCCCCGCGATTGAGAACTCCCGGCTTTATGCGCAACAGGAAAACCCAACAAAGGCAACAACCATGCAACCAATAGATGGCAATCAAGAAGACAAAAGAACCAGACTGAATCTGCCATTTGGGCGAGAGGGGATTACTGCGGGTAATCGGTAACTAAGCAACGGGGTAAAGCACAGGAACGGGGAAACTATAAAACATCATGTAAGTTATGCCACAACAACCCTGGCTTTGTCTGTACCTACCTACGTTACACTCTAGTAAACTTCTTTGCTGAACTTGTGTGTCACGAGAGTTTCTTTGGAGCTGAACAGGGTAAACCTTACAATGACCACACGTAACAATAGTATGTAGGATTTTTTAAAAAGTAATAATAAAAAGATAGGAAAGAAATTACAGCAACAAAGAAAACTCATGAAAGAGAATTAAGATGAAACCAATACTAAAATTGAGAGCTTAAAAATTTCTAAGTTTAAAAAAAAAACATGGCAAAGGAAACCTGACTACTAACAGTTGGAATCACATCTGCATGGAAGTAGTTCAGTCATTCAGCATCTTAGCCCTTAAGTTTATCATCAATATTCCCCCCCCCCCATTTCATTGTAGATAGGGCAGGAGAGGATTAATACCCCAAAGGTAGAGATACTGTTGTACTGGACATTAACAAAATCTCACTTCATGATATGCAGTGGTCTGAAAGTGGAGATATCTTCCTCAATGAGGCATTAGTAATGTCAATCAGATCTTAGGAGAGGCTTTCATGTTTCTTATAATGGTAGTACCAAGATGAAAAGTTTGAAGGCTGTACTGCAATAGCATCTCTACAGGCATCTTGTCTGAAAAGGTTAACTCTGAAGTTTTCACTATTCCAAGAACTAAATTCCCCTAAAGGGGGCAAGGAAAACAATTACAGACAGGAGATAGGATCCATTGGTTTCCACCTATATAATACAAGAAACAAAGTTTAACTAAGTAGGGATCTTGGAGGCTTTCCAGTTGCTTCAAGTACCTTAGCAGTGCAAGATACATTCTAAGGGAGATAAACCCTACTCCTAAGATAGGCAGCAAGAGTGCCCTGAGAGAAGCTCAGAATTTTCCTTAGGAAACTGTTTTGAGCTACTTCCTAACTGGGCAGTGGCTTTTTCCTCCTATCCTCAGATCTCAGTCTCATATAACAACTGAGCTACCACCTCAGCACAATATATTCCTGTTAGTTGCCATTAACTGACCACCTGTGTTTGATACTGTTTCTGCTGTGACCACTACCTCTGTCTGGTTTATCTTCAATCTTCCCCTTTCACAATAGTTGGGCAATCTGGTCAGCAATCTTCTAAGGCCAATCTCAGTGCAGGAAATAAGAGCCAAGTCATTAGCATACATTAGGATTGAGATTTTACATCCACCGAGGGAGGGGAAGAAAACTCATAGTGACTTCATAGCCACTATAACATAAAATGTATATTTGGGGTGAGTAGAGAGCCCTATTTTACACCTCTGTCCAATGACATGAGATCTGAAAACAGAAACATAATGATGCAGCCTGTAGTGGTCTATGGAATATTACCACACTGGGTAGAAATATCCTTGAGAATGTTTCCAATAGCACGTATTGGCAGCATCCTGTATGGGCAGTTCTCTGCAGCAGAGAGCACCACTGCCCAGCCATGCTATTTAACTGGTCCACCCTAGGCAACTAATGGACCCCACTGGGTTTCAGAGGGAGGTTGGGGTTGCTCCTGAAAGTCTGGTTCACAGTCCAACTGAAGCCTGATTCACTGCTTGGAATGAGAGGGCGACTGAGACTCTAAATTGGATCATGGCTACGTGGCCTCTCTCCTCTCATGGATCCCATGGCTCCTCTTGGTTTACCAAGGAGCTGGGGAAGATGAATCATGAGAAGAGATATCTAGAGTGTCCCTGGAGAATGACAAGGAAAGAATCTAACCAAGCATGAGTTAGAACTGCTGTCAAGGCCTACCTCCTGATGGTAAAAGCAGCAAAACATTCGTATTTTTGTGTCTTATTGCATCAGCAGATAGCCACCCAGCAGCCCTGTTTGGAGTATTCCAGCTCCTCCTCCTCTTTCTTCAGGGTCACTCTGAAGAATATTCTAGGCATCTGTCAGATAGTCACTTGAATTCACTCCAAGTTGGACTCAAGCCACAGAGGCCTGTGAAAGTGATGGAGGCTCAATCTGGTCTGGTTATCTAGGATGAGTTTGATCTTGTTGGGCCCAATTAAGCAGACAGGGTGCTTGGAACTGTTAGCTCAGCCACCTGTATGCTGGGCCCATGTTAGATAGGGATTCCCAGCAGATGACATACAGCTGGATCTTGGTGAATTCATCCTTGAGAGAACGGATGATCCTGCTTCTGCGTAAAGAGGCAGTGATTAACTCCCTCCTCAGGAAGCCATCACTGGATCCAATCATCTTGGATAACTTTTGTCCCATTTCCAATCTTTCTTTTATAGGGGAAGTTTTGAGAAGATGTTTGTGTGGCAACTTCAGAAAAATCCTGGAGAAAATGGATTATCTGGACCCTTATCAGTTGGGTTTCAGACCTGGGTACAGGACCAAAACAGCACTGATCGCACTTGTGACCTCTGGCAGGAGCAAGATTGGGATGGTATGTCCATCCAGGTTCTTCTTCTTTTTTTTTTTTTAATATTTTTTTATTTTTACAACAAACACAAAACATACATGAACA